TCTCCCTCTCCCACTCCCCCTGCTTGTGTTCCCTCTCTCTCTGTGTCTCTGTCAAATAAATAAAATCGTAAAAATAAATAAATAATAAAATAAAAACTAGGTCACAAAAAGGCACTGTGGCTTCTGGCTTGGTCTCTGGGGGAAACCAGCTGCCATGTCGTGAGGTGACTCAAGCAGCCCTGTGGAGAGACCCCCAGGGTGGGTCTGAGGCCTTTACCAACAGACACTTCACAGCTGTAACCAAGTCCAACAGAACCACCCGCTAAGCTACTCCTAGGTTCCTGACCCTCAGAGACTGTGAGGTAATAAACGTTTGCTGTTGTAAGCCATTGAATTTGGGGGTAATTTGTTACTCAAAAATAGATCACTGAAACACACAGATCACCCCGACAAGCCTGCTGGGGTCTTCATGCCCAGTGCCACCACTCCTCACACTGCTCCCTGACTGGGTCCTGGAGCTCAGGCAGCCCCATCTGCCGTGGTTTCTTCACAGCATTGGCCTTTGCCTGGCACTGCCCCACTGGTTTGACGTTTTCAGATGTTTCCTTCCCCTATCGAAGAAGCTCCATGAGGGCAGGCACCTTGCCTGTCTCACTCATGGCTGCATCCCAGCACCAGAATGGTGCTGGCCACACAGAAGGCGCTCAGTAAAAATCGATGAATGAGGGGCACCTGGCTGACTCAGTCTGAAGAGCGTGTGACTCTTGATCTCAGGGTCGTGAGTCTGAGCCCCATGTTGGGTGTCCGGATTACTTCAAAATAAATAAACTTAAAAAAAAAAAAAAATGATGAACGAATGGAAATCCCAGCTCCAAGCAGAGATACCACAGCAGCCTGGGAATCCCTGGCCTGTCAGCTTTACAAGGTCTGGAAGTTTTCAGGGGCACCAAGGAATGGGAGGGGGTGGGGACCTAGATCCTAGAAACAGTGACAGATCCAGGAGCAGGTGGCTGGGCCCCTTGCCTTCCTAGCTCTCTTTCCCACCAAGCTGGCTTGCTGCTCCTGACAGAGAAGGGAAGGCAGGCTCCCTGTGGGGACAGTCCCCCTGCCAGGAATCTCAGCCAGCCCCCCACTCTCCGCCCTAACCAGGGTTCTAGGGCCCTGGGCTGAGGGCATGACAGAGACTCTGTGTGCGCACTGAGCCAAGTCAAGTGCTTTCTGCCCGCACTTGAAGATCCCAGCAAAGGAATTCATGAGGGGGTAAAGTCATCTTGAACTCTACCTCTAATTCTGAGGACGCCTTCCCTTTACCCCCACCCTCCCCTGCCAGCCCACAGAGGCCCAGCCAATAAGTAGCCTCCCCTGTGCTTTTGAAAGGGGATCCAGCCAGGAATGGTTACAAGAGCTCTGGGAGCAGGCTCTGAAGGGCAGCGGCAGCTGGCTGAGCAGCCGGCCAGACTATTTGGGGCTCTGTAGGCCGGATGCCCTCCCTTCCCTGTTCTGTGTGGGGACCCAGAGTCCAGCCCTGGGACTCATGCTGGACCAGGACTCATGACCCGTCCCAGAGTGGGAGGAAATGGCTTGATTCCTGGGGGTGCAGGGTGTAACTGCTCTCACAGACATAATGCCCTGTCTCTGCCCTGCAGCCCCTCAGCCCTGTGTCCCCCAGGAATGGGGCAGAAACTGTTCACAAGTGGCCAGAGGCCAGGGATGAGGGCAAAAGGGCACCAGATGACCAGCCCAGAGAGGCAAGCCTTCAGGGTATGAGTGTGGTGGAGGTGGGACTGGACTGCCCACAGGGGCCACTCTGTGGGGCTGTCTGATCCTCCCAGGTGGGACACCACACCCAGAACTGTCCCCTCCGTCCATTTCCTGCCACTCTGCCTAAAATGCCACCACTTGAGAAACCATACTGCACAAAGCATGGGGAATTCAGGAGCCTAACGTCAGCTCTGCCACAAACTCTCAGTGACCTTGGCTTATCAGCTCAGTTTTCCTCCCGCACATCGGAGTCCGGAGGTAGGTCCTGGATGACCCCTGGGCGTGCCCTGTGACCCGTGCCGGCGGGGTAAGGTCGTCCTCACACTGCCCCCGACAGGGGACCTGGCCTTCGTACGGAGTGAAGTGGTTTGCGGGCTGGGCACACGGGGGGCGTGGCTGTGACTGGAGGGGTCCATATTGGGCGAACGAGGCCTTAACTTCCTCGGGTCTCTCGGGTGGAAGAGGCTGCTGGTGGGGTGCTGTCCAGCCCCCTCGCCCCTCGCGCTCCCCTCCTGCTTACACTTACATTTTGCCTCCTTCCAGTCGGTGGAGGTGCTCAGGTCCACCTTCGCCGCCATGGCCAGGGGGGCCCAGGTGCGCACCCCGGCGCTCCTCTCCGCCCCACCGCCGCCGCCCCCCAAGCCCCAACTCCCGCTGGGGTCCGCGCGCCGGGGCTGTCCGCGCTCAGGGACGCCGGGGGAGCCGCACGCACTGCTGCGGGTTCGCGTGGCACCCGCCGAGGGGCCGGCCCAGGGGCGCGGGACGCAGAGCAGCTGCCCCGCCGCGCGCAGCTGTGCCAGGCGGCCGGACACTTGGCTCCTCAGAGACATGAGCGGGCGGCGCGGGGCGGTTCCCCGCCCACTTGGACTCTATTTACGGGGCTGGGAGTCTGTCCTTGATCCGCTCGGGACCGAGCGGTGTGTGCTAGCGGCGACCGGCTCCGAGCTGGCGGGCCGCGCGGCCAGAAACCCCGAGCGCGCCGCTGGGCACCCTGGAACTTGTAGTCCCGGCCGCCGGACGGGCCCCCGCACTCGTATACACACGTGCGCGCCCCGCCCGGACTCCGCCCGTTCCGGGCGCCGGGTGGGAGGCTCCCGCTTCTCGGAGAGTCGCGCGGCTGCCTGGCGCCCCCTCGGGGCTCGCCGCCAACTTCCCGGTCTGTGGAGCCGCCCTCCCCGCGGCGCGGCCCCGGACCGCCTCTGCCCTGCGTCCGTGGCGCTCGGCGCTCCATACCGAACTCGGAGAGGCGGGCGCGGCGCCACCCCGCAACCCCATCCCGCAACCCCATCCTGGCCCCAGGAGCCGTGGTCCCTCCCGGCCGGCCGTCCCCGGGGAGGTGACAAGCAGCGCGAACGGGTACGTCCGGTTCGGCGACTTTCCCCAGGCAGCTGAGCCCGGGGGGCAGACGGGGACGCGACTGAAAGGAAGGGTGCAAACCGTGGAATGTGAAGGCAGAAAATTTGAGTTCCAAGAGGCGTTCTCGGGTGGAACAATTGGCATGTTTTTTTTCTTTATTTTTTTCTAATTTTTATTACTAAGACTATGAAGGTAGATTTTTAAATATGAGCTTATGTTTTTCTACACTATTAATATTATTTGAGAAATATAATAGTTGGGTGCCTGGATGGCTCAGATGGTTGGGCGTCTGCCTTCAGCTCAGGTCGTGATCTCAGGGTCCTGGGATCCAGTCCCGCCTTGGGCTCCCTGCTTCTCCCTCTCCCTCTACTGTTCCCCCTGCTTGTGCTCTCTCGCTCTCTCTGTCAAATGGATGAATAAAATCTTTAAAAAAAAAAAAAAGAAATATAATAGTAGATATTTTTATAAAGAGGAGGAGCCAGGGTCCCAGAGAAGGTTCCAGTACCAGCTTGCCACCCTGGGGTACGCAGTCCACTTGAGACTCACTTCTTGAGCTGTAAATTAAGAATAAGACAGGGACACCTGGGTGGCTCAGTCAGTTAAGCGTCTGCCTTCCACTCGGGTCATGATCTCAGGGTCCTGGGATGGAGCCCCCGCATCAGGCTCCCTACTCAGGGAGGCTGCTTCTCCCTCTGCGGCTCCCCATGCTTGTGCTCGCTCCCTCTCTCCCGCTGTTTCTCTCTCAAATAAATAATAAATAAAGATCTTTAAAAAAAATAAAAAGACAGGGCTCAGGTCTGGCTGGTTGCAGAGGTGCCCTGTGTTCCAGGCCTCTCTGGTGCTGGGTGTGGCAATAACCCAGGGCGGGCTGTGGGGCGGATCACACAGTGAGCCATGTGGATGCAGGGGCACCACCGGGATGTCCAAGAGAGAACCAGCACAGACCTGCCCGCAGGGAGGAGGGCAGTGATCAGCCTGGGATGAGGGTGGAGAGGTGTGATCAGAAGCCAAGGGCCAGGAAGGAAGGGTCAAAGGTCCCCAACATTCCAGGACCACCAGTAAGGACCGTACCCTTTCCCCAAAAAGGTCAGCAAGATGAGTTCAGGATGTGGTAGTCAGGTCCCCAGGATGGAGGTCACCTCACCGCTTGCCACTTCTATAACTCTGCCTTGCCAATTGCATCCAGGATAGCAGCCATTTACAGGGCACTGGGTACCAGCTGGCACTGAACTAAGCACCTGCTTGCATTTGCTGTACCTTCATTAGCTTGTGATGAGCTCCCGATGACCAGGTGAGGCAGCGGGAACGGCTAGAGGTCAACAACACAGCCTGTGAGGGTCAGAGCCCAGGCTTGGGCCTGGTTGTTTGGTTCTTATCGGTGGTCGGGAAAGCAATTGCACAGATGTCACTGATTCAGGAAAGGAAGCATGTGGATGACCCTGCGTGTGTTCTCTCACTACTGTAACAAGTTACTGCAAATTGGTGGCTTCCACTACACAAATGTATCATCTTGAAGTTCTGTAGGACAGAAGTCTGACGGGGGTCTCTCGGGGCTAAAATCAAGGAGTCAGCAAGACTTTGTTCCCTACTGGAGGCCCTTTCTGGTCTTTTCCAGCTTCTGGAGATGCCCACACTCCTTGGTTTGTGGCACCCTTCTTCCATCTTCAAAGCCAGCAATGCTGCATCTCCCCAACCAATTCTTCCATAGTGGCCCTTGCCTCTGACTCTCCTCCACTTCCCTGCCATTTTCAAGGACCCTGGTGATTATGCTGGCCCCACCAGGATAATCCGTGACCACCTCCCTATTTAAAGTCTACTAATGTGTGGCATTAACTCCATCTGCAACCTTGATTCCTCTTCACCATGTAATGTAACATATTCGCAGGGACGAAGATGTGGGCATCTTTGGGGGGCCATTATTCTGCCTACTATACCCCTACTGGTAAGGTCTGGGGAGGAGGATACAGGGAGAGACAGGGGCCCCAGCCATAGAAAGTCTTGGTGCCCAATCGGGAGGCTGCCTTTCTGCACAGAGCATGAAATCCACATCCCCCAGAGCCAGGCCTTTGAAGCACCCTTGCACACTCTGGGCATCTGTACCAGTCCTTCTGATTCTTTTGCTGGGATTCAGCTCTGTTCTCACCTGGGCCCCACACTCAGGTGGATATGGGCACGGAAGCAGGGCTCTGACTGAGCTAGGCAGGACCTCCTCACAGAGATCGAGCTGGATCTTTTGAAAAAGGTAAAATGTTGCCAGGTTCCAAAGGTGTGTATGTGGGTCAGAGACATTCCAGGCAGAGGAATGCCCAGGAGCAGAGGCATGGCAGCCTACGGAATGCCGAATCTTCCAGCAGGGGCTACGCCATCATTGGAGACTGTCAGCTGAGGATTTCTAATGTTGTAGAGGGGCTCTCGTGCAGAGAAAAGCTACCTGCTGCTGCTTGTGTTTAAAGGAATACTGTATTTATTAAACTTATAAATTAAAGAAAGAACTAGTTTTTCTTAAACATCTAAGTGCAACTTGCAAATCTAGTTTTCTATTTATAAATCTAATTTTGTATAAAAATAAGAACAATTACTTTCACTTATTCTTTGATGAATATTTAATTAACTCAGAGATTCAACAGATTAAATTCTAAAAATGAATCCCAATTACAAACTTAGGTAATTAAATTCCCTAATAGATTTTAAACTACATGTTACAGGGATGAGATAGCTGGTCTTCTTAAACACCTCAAACTCAACATCTAACAGGCATTTTTTTTTTTCCTTTTTCTTTACAAACAGGGAGGGGGTGGGGTGAGGACACTCTTGCCCCCCACCTTACTCTGTCCTCCCCAGCCAAGCATATTTTTTTCTAATCAGCTAAGCAGTTTTTAAAAGATTTTATTTATTGGGGTGCCTGGGTGGCTCAGTCTTTAAGCATCTGCCTTCAGCTCAGGTCATGATCCCAGGGTCCTGGGATCAAGCCCCGCATCGGGCTCCCTGCTCAGCGGAGAGCCTGCTTCTCCCTCTCCCACTCCCCCTGCTTGTGTTCCCTCTCTCGCTGTGTCTCTCTCTGTCAAATTTTATTTATTTGACAGAGAGCACAAGCAAGGGGAGCAACAGGCAGGGGGAGAATCAGGCTCAGTGGGGAGCCCGATGCGAGACTTGATCTGGGGACCCTGGGATCATGACCTGAGCCTAAGGCAGATGTTTAACCAACTGAGCCACCCAGGTGCCCCAGCTAAGTAGTTCTTCTATACTAATAGATTACACTTATAAATATGGTCAATCAAGTCTCTTAAATGTTCAAATGCTGTTTATAAACTTAGATCATTTTGCACTGTCTCCGTTGTCTATTGCTGCATAATAAACTACTGAAAACTTACTGGCTTGAAATAATAACCAAGGCATGGAGTCCGCGGTTTGGTCTGGGATAAGCTGGTAGGTTCATCTTCTTCTGGTCTTGCCTGGGTCACTCCTGTGGCTGCAGGCATCTGACCACCTAACTGGGGCTGGGGGCCCGGGATGGCCTCAGTCCTGTGACTGGCCGTTGGTGCTGGCTGTCAGCCAGACCCCTTGGTTCTGCTCCAGGGCACTCTTATCCTTCCATAGGCTAGACGGGGGCAGCGTCATGGCATGCTGGTCTCAAGGACCTGCTCCAAGAGGGTGACCACAGAGGCTGCCCTGCCTCTTGAGGCCTGACTCCTAAGTCACCCTATATCACTTCCACCACATCCTGTCATTTCACGTGGGGTCACAAGGTCAGCCCAGATTCAAGGGCAGGAAGAAAGAGACTCGACCTCTTATCTATTTTTTGGGACGCCTGGGTGGCTCAGTCAGTTAAGCGTCTGCCTTCGGCTCAGGTCATGATCCCAGGGTTGTGGGATCGAGTCCTGCATCGGGCTCCCTGCTCGGCAGGAAGCCTGCTTTTCCCTCTGCCTGCCGCTCCCCCTGCTTGTGCTTGCTTGCTCTCTCTTTCTGACAAATAAATAAAAAAGATTTTATTTATTTTTTGACAGAGAGACAGCGAGAGAAGGAACACAAGCAGGGGGGGTGGGAGAGAGAGAAGCAGGCTTCCCGCCGAGCAGGGAGTCCAATGCAGGGCTCCATCTCAGGACCCCAGGATCATGACCTGAGCTGAAGGCAGACGCTTAACGACTGAGCCACCCAGGCACCACGAGACTTGACCTCTTAATGGGAAGAGCAGCTGAATCTCATTGCAAAGGCAGCCTACAGGGGTGGGAGGAATTATTAGAGCCATTTTATCTAATTAAATCCACAAATCAGGGCGCCTGGCTGGCTCAGTTGGAAGAGCATGCAACTCTTGATCTTGGGATTGTGAGTTTGAGCTCCACATTGGGTGTGATTACTATTAAAAAAAACAAAAACCCTCAGAAATCAAATAGGACACATTGACTTAAGTGTCTGAAAACCTTAAGTAAACACTCTGATATTAGCATGATTAACAAAAGTTATTCCTAAACTGGTACCAAGATTCTGGGTTTGTTTTGCTGGTTTCCACACCCTTCAGGGTTGCAAAACCACCAGAGGAGCAGATTCCTCATCACAGCGGGGCTGGAGGCACAGTGGATTTGGGACCACAGTACAGTGAGGGTTTCCTGTTCCTGGTCTGAGATTTTAAGAGCAGAGCAGGACACAGAAGAATTCTGCCAGGTCTAAAGGGAGCCCCAAGCCCATTCCTCTCTCCAGGAGTGAATTGCAGAGCCCAGTGCATCCCTGTTTCCTAAGAGTCCCCATTTTTACCAGGACACCTTCCTTCTCTTTATTGCTTTAACGCAGGTGGATGAGCCCCTTTGCCTCCCAGGTCCCCCTAACATCTTCACTATGTGATCGCAATTTTGAGCTTCCCTCCATCCAGGTTGTAATGCAGTCTTCATATTTTACTTTATCACCTGCGTGTATTCCATTTTACTGTCTGTGTCATTGGCCGATATTGTACAGTCATTATAATGGGAGGCGTGGAAGGGAAGAATGGATTACCACGAGGTACTAAGTGTCCGGCCGGCGCGGAACTGTAAATCACGGGCCTGGGCGGCAGAGGGCGCCCGTCCCCCGGATTCCTCTCGGGGCCGGCCTAAGGACCAAGTCCGTGATCCCCGGAGGGCTGCTGGGCCTCGCCAGGGGAAGGGCCCGGCCCGGCCCGGCCCGGCCCGGTCCGGGCAGGCATTAGCTGCTCCTCCACGGACTTCGGAGAAGGCCTGGGAAGAAGGTGGATGCTCAGCGGACACTTAGCTTGAAGTATACAAAAACCTCGAATAGTAACGTTGATTGTAACAAGTTTTTAAGATTTATTTTTAAGCGATCTCTACACCCGCCATGGGGCTGGGACCCACAACCCCGAGATCAAGAGTCCTCCGCTCCACCAACTGAACCAGCCAGGTTACCTGATTGTGACAAATTTAAACAACGCAATGAAAAGAAAGGCCTGTTATGAGCTGAATTGTGTCCCCCACAGATTCATATGTGGAAGTCCTAACTCTCGGCTCCTCAGTATGTGACTGTATTGGGAGGCAGAGCCTTTGAACAGGTGATTGAGTAAAAAACGAGGCTGTTAGGGTAAGCCCTCACCCAATCTGAGTGGTGTCCTTGTAAGAAGGAAGTTGGACACACAGAGACACATAAAGACCTCGTGAGGACAGGGAGAAGGGGCCATCTGTAAGCTGAGGAGAGAGGCCCCAGGGGGATCCAGATCTGCCAACACCTTGATCTCGGACTTGCAGAACTGTGAGAAAATAAATCTCTGCTGTTTAAGCCACCAAATCTGTGGGATTTATGTATGGCAGCCCTAGCAAGCTAATGCAACACCCTCTCCCCAGCCCTAATTCACAGAGGTATGTATCAATTTTGGTAGCCAGCTGTGCATCCTTCTAGACTCTTCCCATGCATGTATAATCATATGTGCAGATATACACATACAATTTCTTTCTTTCTTTCTTTCTTTCACAAAAATAAGATTTGGCCATACACACTGTTCCACAACTAACTTTCTTTATTCCATAGTACATCATGGGCATGTTTCCCTGTCAGTATCTATCCAAGCCTTCTTTTTTAAATAATTTAATTTAATTTAATTTCAATTCAATTAATTAACAGATAATGTGTTATTGGTTTCAGAGGTAGAGTTCAGTGATTCATCAGTTGCATTTAACACCCAGTGCTCATCACATCATGTGCCCTCCTTAATGCCCATCACCCAGTTTCCCCATCCCCTCACCCCCTTCCCCTCCAGCAACCCTCAGTTTGTTTCTTAGAGTTAAGAGTCTCATGGTTTGTCTCTCTCCTCTGATTTCGTCTTATTTTATTGTTCCCTCTCTTCCCCTATGATCCTCCATTTTGTTTCTTAAATTCCACATATGAGTGAAACCATATGATACTGTCTTTCTCTGACTGACTTACTTTGCTTAGCATAATACCCTCTAGTTCCATTCACATTGTTGCAAATGGCAAGATTTCTATTTTTTTTTTTTTAAAGATTTTATTTATTTATCTGACAGATAGAGAGACAGCGAGAGAGGAAACACAAGCAGGAGGAGTGGGAGAGGGAGAAGCAGGCCTCCCGCCGAGCAGGGAGCCCGATGCGGGGCTCGATCCCATGACCCTGGGATCATGACCTGAGCCGAAGGCAGACGCTTAACGACTGAGCCACCCAGGCGCCCCAAGATTTCAATTTTTTGATGGCTGAGTAATATTCCATTGTGTGTGTGTGTGTGTGTGTGTGTACATCTTTATCCAATCATCTGTCGATGAGTACATGGGCTCTTTCCATAGTTTGGCTATTGTGGACATTGCTGCTATAAACATCGGGGTGCAGGTGCCCCTTCAGATGACTACATTTGTATCCTTTGGGTAAATACCTAGTAGTGCAATTGCTGCGTCATAGGGTAGCTCTATTTTTAACTTTTTAAGAAATCTCCATACTGTTTTCCAGAGTCCGTGCCTTCTTTTTAATGTTCACAAATATTCCATTCTATGGAGGCAGCATTCATGGTTTCCTTTCCTTTCTTTTCTTTTTGGCTTAAACAGCAGAAATTGATTTTCTCACAGTTGTTGAGGCTGAGTCCAAGATTAAGGTGCCGGCATGCTCAGGTAGAGTGAGGGCACTTTACCTGCCTTATAGATGGCTGCCTTCTTACCTGGCTTGGGGCCTTCTCTTTCCATGGCAGAGAGAGAGAGAAAACAAGCTCTTTGGTGTTTCGTGGCATAAGGGTACCAATCCCATCACAAGGGCCCACCCTCATGGCTTCACCTAAACCCGAGCTGCCTTCCGAAGTCTCCACCTCCGGTACCATCACACTGAGGGTTGAGAGCTTCAGCATAGGAATTTGGGGCACACAGTTCAGTCTAGAGCAAGAGGAGCGTCTTGTTTCCCAGCATCCATCATCCTCCATGGATGCACATGGTTGCCATTCCTTTTGCTGTGACAAACATCCTTGTGTCACCAGGCTGGGGTTACCTGTGGGGATAAATTCCCAAGAACGGAATTGCTTTTTGCATTTTTAACCGATGTCGCTAAGTGTACCTTCCCACCAACAGGATTTGTGAGGGCCCGTTTCCCCCACACTCACCGTCTCCACCACTTGGTGGTTCTCAAGAAACAGGTGGTGGAAAAGAGAGTGAGGTGGTGACATTTAGTTCTCAGGGGAACCAACCATTTGGCCCAGGGAAGGGTAAGCAGAATCGGGGGTGAAGAAGTGCAGGGGAAAGAAGGCCAGAGAGCCCCTCTGGGAGAGGCTGAGGCACCCACAGGGGGAGCAGAAGAGTGACAGGTTTCATTTGCTCATTCGCCACATGCTTACAAGCATGCGCAACGTCCCCGGCCCGGACTGCGCTCAGCAGTGAACAGAGCACAGGCCCTGCCCCTGTGGAAACTTCTGGTGTGGGAGACACATGGGGAAACAAGTCAGCGAGTACACGTCATTTCAGGCAGTGCCTAGAGCTGCAGAGAGAATGAATTCAAAGAGCATCACAGGGCTGGAGTGGCTAAAGCAGGGGGAGGCGGAGGGAAAGGGGGAGGCAGCACCCAGGGCCACGGGGGATTTGCATTCCAGACACTTCTGGAGGGTGTTGGTCAAGGTTGAGAGCCAGCTGAGTTTTAAAGGGTTCCTCTTGGCAGCCTTATAGATGATGGCACTTGGACGGGCAGTCAGGACAGAGCTGGAGAAAAGTGGATGGGACAAGCTCTGTACCAGCAGGATTTCTAGCCTCAGCAGGAATGAGGAAAGCGTGGAAACAGCCCTTGGGGGTGAGTCCTCTGGTTGTCTGTTGTCTGTTGGTTGTCTGTTCTTGTGTAACAAACTACCTTGTTTTGATGGCTGAAGACAACAGCCCTTTGATTAAATCTCATGATTTGTGGGTCAGGGCTCAGCCGGGCGATTCTTTTGTTCCATGTGGCCTTGACTAGGGTCACTCAGGGGTATTCAGCAGGAGATGAGGCTGGGCTGGAGGGCCCAAGATAGCTTCCCTCAACTTGGCCAGGATGGCTGAACAGCGGGGGGTCTCCACGTGGCTAGCTTGGGGTTCCTCAACCCATCAACCATGGCAGCCTTGGGGCAGTCAGGCTTCTGACACGGTAGCACAGGGCTCCAAGTGGGAGTGTCCCAAAAGACAGGCGGAGGAAGCTGCCAGTTTTCTAAGGCTTGGAAACTGGCCCAGTGTCACTTGCAGTGTATTCCATTGGCCAAAGTAATCCCAGAGGCCACCAAATTTAAGGGGAGGGGACATGGATCCCTTTCAATGGGGAGGGTGTCAGTGAACGTGCACTTATCTCTCATCTCCCAGAGTGCCCCTTGATGGCCTTTTCGTAGCATTGTGTGTCATAGGCTAGGCCATGATCAATTTTTTTAAAAGATTTTATTTATTTGAGAAAGAGAGAGCACAAGCAGGGGGAGCGGCAGGGGGAGAAGGAGAAGCAGGCTCCCCACTGAGCGAGGAGCCCGACACGGGGCTCAATCCCAGGACCCTGGGATCATGACCTGAGCAGAAGGCAGACGCTTAACCAACTGAGCCACCCAGGTACCCCCATGATCAATTTAAATCTGCCTGTCATGTAGCAGGTTTCACTCTCAAGCCTCAGCCAAGCTCAGTTGTGCAAGAAATACGATGTTTTACATTTCCTTAGGTCAGGGTTTCCCAGCCTCAGCTCATTTGGGGCCACGTAATTGCTGGGAGTTGTAGGGTATGTGTTATAGGATGTTCAGCAACATTCCCGGCCTCCAAGTTGGGACCATCGAAAATGTCTCCAGACACTGTCAAATGCCCTCTGGGGGCAAAATCAGCCAGGTTGAGAACCAGAACCTTGGGATCAACTCATTCTGACTCCAAGCCCCCATCCTACCCATCCGTGAGGAAATCTTACCCTGGTTACAACTAGGATTCTCATCCAGGTAGGATCTCAGATTCGGGGGAAGTGTGTGGTGCCCTAAACCCAAGGAAGAGTTCCAATCCACTACCATGGCTGTTGTCAATGTCCTTACTGGGCTCACCTCAGTGGTATCCTGAATACAAAGAAGCTCTCCTCCCACCCCCACCCCAACCCTGCACCTCTCATAGGGTATGGGCTATGGGCACAGCCTGGGAGTCTTCACACGCATCTTGCAAAGTTGTCCCCTCTGACTCTGGTCGCCTACCAACTCAAAGTTTCCCAGTCAAAGCTAGAAGATGGCTGGAGAGTCCGTGGGTCTGTGTCCAGCTGACAGAATTTGCTGGCAGACTGGACATGGTTGTGAAAGACAGGGGTGAAGGACATCTCCAAAGTTTTCAGCCTGAACCAGTCCACGAATAAAGAGGCCACTGATGGGAAGGAAGTCAAGGGAGGAACAATTTGGGGGGAGACTATCGGGAGCTCTGATCTGAACACATTGGGAAGTCCATTAGCCGTCCAAGTGGAGACATCAAGGAGACAGCTGGATGGGTAAGTCTGGAACTCGGGAGCAAGATTTGAGCGGAAGGTAAAAACGTGGGATTCATCTGAGGTGGTATTTATAGCTACGAGACTGACTGAGATCACCCTGGGAGGGAGTGTGGATGGTGAGGTCCCAGGCTGAGCTCTGGGGCTCTCAAATGAATAATTATCAGATAATAATTACCATCATTTTATTTCCTGAAGCATCTGGCACAGTGCCTGGCTCTCCATACAAGTTCTCTGAATGGAACAGAACACTATGGCACTTTATTAACCCCCCCACTTTCCCTGCTAATCAGGATTTAGAGTCTACCTTAGCAGGATAGCAGGTAGTTAGAATCGCTCAGTTAAGTAGGAATGAAAATATTCCTTAGGAATTTTCCAGAACCCGGAATGGGAACTTTGCTATCACTTGCAGAAGGAAAATCAGGCTGTTTTAAAGTCCCACTCCAAAAGCGAAAGTTCTTACCAGCACAAAACTCCACATTCCACAGACCCCAGAGTTCTGGGCTGCCACCACTCCCTAATCCATGCTCCACATTCCCACCCTGAGTCTCCTGAGCTCCAGCTGTTTTCCTTTTTTCTCATATAGGGAGAACTTTAAAACCGGGGGTTTGTTCTGCCGAGAATTTGGTCACACACGTTTACTCCTTCAGTCTCTCATTCGCTCCAGGATCTGCAGCCTCAGATCGACTCTGAATACAGCCTCCGCCATCTTACTCCCCACCCTTGAGAGCAGAGGCACCAAAATAGCAGCATGAATCATTCGGGAACTGTCATGTAATGCAAGACCTGGGCACCTTCTGTGGCGGTGCCTCTGCTTGTGTTCCAGGATCTGGGGAAGGGGACACTGGCCGGCCGCCGTCACTGCCTTCCTGTCCCACTCCAGAGGGCTGAGTCTACGAAGAGATTTGAAAAGCCCAAGCTGGTGAAAAGTGTGAGTTGACATTTCTGAATGTCCAGGAGTGGCTTTACTGTGACCATGAGTAAGCTTAAGATTTAGGGGTCCCTGATTCACATCCCTTCTGAAGGTCCAAACCTTTTTTAATTTGTATTTTTCTTTCCTCAGAGGGGGCTTTCCAAATTTAATGTTTTGGGTCTGATGAGACTTGAGGATGGATGATTTTGTTCAACCCTCATAGTAACCTTGGGAAGTCATTGGCACTTCATCATCCCCATTTATAGGCAAGGACACTGGAGCATAGAAAAGCCTTTTTTGGGTTCCTTGAAAATTTCAAGCTTGTTTTAACCTCAGGGCCTTTGCACTTTCTGTTGTCCTGTCTGGAACCCTGTCCTTGGCTGGCTTGTTGTCACTCCAGGTCTAAGGGGCCTTCACTAACCACCCACCTCTTGGAGCTCCTTCCTTCCCTGCTTCCCTGCTTCCCCTCTATCCCTTACCTTTTGCCTTTTTTTTTTAAATAGCACTCATCACTATTTTCATTTCTGTATGTTTTTATCTAACAAATGCATATAGTGCTTTTTCTGTAGGTAGGCAATGTTCTTTTTTTTTTTTTTTAATTTATTTATTCGACAGAGAGAGAGACCGCAAGAGAGGGAACACAAGCAGGGGGAGTGGGAGAGGGAGAAGCAGGCTTCCTGCTGAACAGGGAGCCTGACATGGGGCTCGATCCCAGGACCTTGGGACCATGACCCGAGCTGAAGGCAGACGCTTAACGACTGAGCCACCCAGGCGCCCCGGTAGGCAGTGTTCTAAGCATTACAAATATCAAACAATTTAATCCTCACTACTCTGACATCAAAACTGTTTCACCCACGTTTTAAAATGGAAACAACAGAAACAGAGCGGTTGAGCAGGTTGCTTGAAGTCACACAGCTGATGAGTGTAACTACCATCTATCTCTCCTACTAGAAGACAAGATCCACACGAGCAGAAGCTGCCTCTGTGAGCTGTCTTGTTCTCTGTTGAGTCCCTGCACCCAGAGTAGTGTGTCACATGTGGCAGGACTATATAAAAGATGTCAGTGACGATGAGACCAGGTTAGAGAGAGGGAGGAATGGGAAAGAAGCCTGGAGAGAAGCTGTGGGGAGATGGTGGAAGAGCTCCTCTGAGGGCCAGCAGTGGGACTGGCAAAAGTGTGGTGGTCTGGAGACGGTGCCAAGGAGAAATGAAAGGTCTTGTGGACAGGTTTAATTTAGCAGATGAGTAAGAGAGGCCAAAAGCCTGGGAATCACCTCCTTCCTTCCTGTTCTGAGTCCAATGTATCAACAGATCCTGTTGGCTCCTCCAAAAGTTGGAACCCAACTGTTCTCAGCCCTCCTCCGCTCCCACTCTGGCCCACAGCATTGTCATCACTCTCCTGGAACATGGCAAGTGTCCTGAAAGGTCACCCACACTGCAGCCAGAGGAGTCCTGATAAAACTACATCAGATCATGTCCCTTTTCTGTTCAAAACGTGCTGGCATGAACACACTGGCCTCTCGCGTCGAAGGACCTGGCCCCTGCTTCCTCTTGGCCCCACTCTCCCACGCCCTCCTTGCTCCCACCATCCTGGCCACCCCAGTGCAGGTCCCACCCCAGGATCTTTGCATGTGTTGTTTCCTCTGAGTGCAAGGTTCTTCCCCAGATTTTCCATTCATCTTCCTCCCTTACTTCTTCAGGTCTTTTCTCAAATCTTAGCTTCTCACTGAGGTTTGTCCATGCCAGCTTATTAAAAATGCAACACCATCCCCCTCACCCTTTCTCTGCTTCATTTTTCTCCACTGCACTTAGGCAGATATATCCTATAAACTTTTTTGGCGTGTCCCCATCACTAGAATGAGTGCCAAGTGATTTTTGTCAGGTTTTTTCACTGCATTTTCTCCAGAGCCCACAATCGCCTCTGACACATTCAATCATACTTGACGGATTAATGAACACCTACTATGTGCCAGATGCTGTGCAATGCACCTGGAAAGCAAGGAAAAAGGAAAAAGGACACGAGGCCCCTGTGGACCTAACAAAATGTGGCACTGACACCAAAGTTGCCGGTTTAATTTGTGACTGGACACACATATAGCCCCCAGTGTAGTAAAAGCGAGGAACAGGTGGGCAGAAATTAGTGTCCTTGTAGGACGTAGACCGTTAAGGAATCATAACCGCTCATCTCAGCCTGAAAAGACCAAATTAACCTGGCAGAGTTGGTGGAAGGGGGACCCCAGCAGAGGGACCAGTTTGTAGGCAGGCCCAGAGGGAAGGAGCCCACCTAGTTTAATGAACAGAGATGTCAGCGGGCTGCAGTTTGGTGCTGAAGACGGAGGACAGGGAAAGAGGCCGTGTAAGTGGGCCTGCCAGATGAGACGGGCCCTGCGCCCCAATCTAAAGCCTCCAAGAGCTTTAAGCAAGGGATGTGGATCTGCAGTGACTCTGGTTGCAGTGCTGCGAAAGGATCAGGGACAGCGGGGCTGGAAGAGGAAGCTGTGGAGACAAGCTATTGGCAAGGAGTGGGCACTTAAAACCCTGGGCAGGGATGGCGTGACCCAGATGGGACGGTAGCAAGGACACCGCAGGCCCGAAGACCCTCATCCAAGCCCTCTCCAGACCTGGCATGCGGCTTCTTTGTTCCATGAAACACACACTGGGCCAGGAGGGAAAACCAGCCTCTCTCCTCCACGCCCTCAGCCCTTTCGCATCCCCGGGTGCTCTCGCACGTGCCCTGCCTCTCGGCGAGGCCCTCCCGGGCCGCTGCGGCCGCCGCCGCCGCCAGCAGGTGGGCAAGCACCTCACTCGTCTTTGTTCCCCGCCCCCCTGCACCTCCCACTAATGGCGGCAGCTCCCTCTCATGGAGCGCTGAAGACGCGACTGCACGATGGGAAACCTCCCACGGCCCTAGCCGACCAAACCCTTGACACGAGCGGGTCACACAGAACGTGCGTTTCCACCGAGGGGACCCGGGGAGTCACGGGCCCCGCTACGGAGAGATTCCGGTCTGTCCACCCAAACCCCAGCTCCTTCGCTATTTCTGACCACAGGGCGCCTGAAAGCGGGCTCTGGGGACGTCCCGGCCAGGGCGCTCTCCCGAGGTCCACCCAGAGGTCACCCCCACCGGCGGCTCTGTGCCGCTGGGGAGGAGTGAGTCGTCAGGGCCGCACTCGCGGCTCACGGAGGCGGGAGGCGGCCACCGCGGCAGAGCTACTGTGGCCTTGGACTCCCATAAACCGCTACAGAGGTGAAGCCCCACACTGCCTTTTGACGGGCAGCTATTTATTTATTTTTTTTATTTTTATTAAAGATTTTATTTATTTATTTATTTGACAGAAAGAGACACAGCAAGAGAAGGAATACAAGCAGGGGGA